TTGTTTCAAACCCGCCAGCTGAAGGTATACTCAAACTATTGCCGCACTATACTTGCGATCTTGCCTTTTTTTCTCCACTAGCCGTAACTGATAGCAAATGAACAAAGGCGCCACAATCTTCTTAAGCTGGGTAGGGTGCTGTTTGCTTCTCCGCAGAACAAGGCTGGATGTAGCAAACAGCGCAATTTTGTAAACTATGAAGCCGCTGCGGCAAAATTATACAAATATCACAGCTACATCTCACGCTTATAAATATTAATTTGAAAGCAAATGTCCTCTCGATATGGTTGGATTGGATTGGTTGAGACTGGTAGTTGTATTTATAATGTATCAATGCGCTTGATAGTCGAGAGACATAATTTATAATCTGTCACTCATCGTCCGTTTGAATATTTCAACAATGTACGTCTCAACCAATCAAAACTTAGAGTTTAATTTCAACAAGCGTTGTTTCAAGTGTCAAATTAAAAAATGCTACTTGGACGCGTAGTCAAAATGCAACAGGTACCTGCACCAAGCATTCGGTTTACCAAGGTAACGGAGAAACTTCAAAGCTGTCTTTCGCAGGTGCAATCTTACATGGTCAAAGCAGATATTGCTTTTTCGCAAAAGTACAGTCAGAGGAGAGCACTGGATTTGAGAGTTGTCATAAGTAGCTTCGAAATTTCCGTGTAGTCAGAGGATATATTACGATGTTAATTCCAAAAGTGTAAGGTGCATCATTTTCATCATGGCAGTTCCAATAAGAATGTTCGTTTCCAGTCGCTTGACTGACTCTATGCATTACTTTCTTTGTGTTTCAAAGTTTCCATTTCAAATGTTTTGGAGAAAAAAACATGAGGGACTCTGACATTTAATATATCACCCCCCACAAAACGTCCTCAAACGCCCGTTATTCACAAGATCTCGCTATTGAAACGTGATTAGTTCTGTATCCCTAGTTGCTGTAAAAGGAAGTAAATATACATTTTAATGTTTTCTTTCGTAAAAACCGTATTTAAAAATCTTATTTTCGCAAGTTGGAGACGGTGACTATCTTACCTAGGAAAGCGGAATAGGTGGCGCGGGTAGTCAGCGGTTTGATAGAACATACGCCTTCTTTGAAGTGACTTCCATTCCTTAGGAATGGCGGATATAATCCCATAGTATAGAGTGAAGGTGATAAGATATGACAGCCCAAAACGGCAGAGATCACGAAAAATCACAACGGACACACAAGAAATGAGTAAGTTTTAATCTTACGTGTAAATTATCATTTTCGGAATATTTAGCGTTCTAAATCAACCGTATTTCGTTCCCATACAATCCAAGCCTGCGAACGCAGACGTATTTCCGGCTGTCACTTGGTTCCGCCGAAAAATGACGTCTGCGAACCCGAGCTAGGAAACGATTTCTGTGACGTAATGACTTTTGTTCCTCCTTGGCCAATCGGATTCCATGATAGAATGAAACTCGAGCGCTCCTCACAGCGAATACCTCGCGCGGTAGTTCTGGGGTTATTTGAGCTAAACTGTGATTGGCTTAGAATTCCTACGTCAGAAATCGTTTTCTGGCTCAAGTTCGCAGACGTTATTTTTCGGCGGAACCAAGTGACAGCCGGAAATACGTCTGCGTTCGCAGGCTAATACAATCCCTTATAAAGCTTTCAAATTCTCAGAGGCTCTTCGCCTAACATAACACCGCGTCAGATCAAAATCACCAGCCGGAGGGCTCTTTCCGCCCAGGACTCACACAAGGTGCGTGTGACGCGTTCATGAATAAATACGTGCGTGTCCTAGAGTTAATTTATTTTTGGTTTTTCTCGTAAGCTTACGACGCCTGTGGTAAAACAAATCTTAAGTTGTTTTATTTTTCGCTGTACATCGTAACCAGACAAGCATGTTGGATTAACCTTATCATAACTGTTAAGAAGAGTCCACTGAGTGCTGCTACCTCCAGGGGCTTTTAATTCACAAAAAACATACTCTTGTATTGCCATGCCTGCGCACTAACCCACTAAATTAAATCTGGCGTCCCTGCGTTAATTTCTCTTACACGTCAAAGTAACTCAAAAGTTGATTATTCACGTGAACCATAGATGCAGACTGCGCAGTGAAACTGGATGGGCAGAATCACCGGTGATGGACAAAACACTGACCCCCAGTCCATGGACTACCCTAATGGACTACCCTAAAATGGACTACCCCTAAAAAATACTATTTCATATCAGTGGTATGTTAAAAGAAGCTGCGATTATATACTTACACTGCACGGAGGATGCTTTTCTTTTCGTTCTGCATCGCTTTCAGCC